TTGTCCTGGTCTATTTTATTTCTCTATAAATACTCAACTCATTCATACATTCAAGACCACGAATTGCTACCTCAAGAGCAAGCTCCAAGAATCACAAAAAGTTCTCAAGTACTAGGGCAAGCGTGAAACCCTATTTGCAGCTTCTTCCAAGCAATTCCAAGTATTCCATTACACTCCTAAAGATCCCATGAGTCGTTTTCGGTCTATCAACAAGCTCCAGACATCCCAGAACATGCTCTCTCAAGAACACCAATTGGGTAACTTTTCCAAAATCTTAAACTTCTATTTTATGCATTGTTAACTAATCTTGTGTGTTCATGTATGTTTATGATGATGTTTAGAATAATTTGAGACGATTACTTGGAGTTTATAACGTCCAAATCTTAGTTGGCCATTGATGAACCGATTCCCACCCCCATGCATTTTTTAGTTCCACTTATTTCTAACTTTCTTTCTTTATATTTTCTGACTCATTTAATTAATTTCTATTAAATAAAAAAATTCATAAAAAATATAATAAAATCAGATTTAGACTTTTAATAGGTTAATTTAATTTTTGATAATATTATTCTTAATTAATTAATTAGACATATGTTTTTTTATAATTAATTAAGTGTTTAATTTAGGTTTAAAATCTATTTATTTTATCATTTAAATCAAACCAAAAAATGCATTAAAAAAATTAATTTCTAACATTTTAGATATTAGGACATTAAAAATAGTTTACTAATATTTTATTTTATTTTGCTATTTATTTTATTAGACAAATTGTATAGGATGTACAAATTTTGTAATAACCTAGTTTAAATTCCTGCACAATTTCTTTATCAAGTAACTACCCCAAGGCATTGTAATAGCGTAGGACTTTATTTTTCCGCACTTATTCTTTATGTCTTGTATATATATAATTGTGTAGTAATAGACTTGTATGGAAAGATAAAATTAAATGGTAGATAACCTTAAATAATTCAAAGATAACATAACTGAACCGAACTCACTTTGCACACATACACCTCCAGGGTAACCTCCTCTGTTGCATTCAGAAAACAATGGTCATGACCCTCGAAAATAGGGATGCTTTATAAAAGACACTCGAATAAAGATCATAGTCCCTCGATGACCCTTCAATGTTGCCTACAAAAAATTATCTAGTCCATCCGATACAATTGCTAAAGTATCTTTATATGTTGCTTTCTATGACCATTCGACGACCCTTCGCCCGTCCCTTCACATCCAATAGATAGGGATACCTACCAACTAATGGTACGGATATCACATTCTCTAAATTATAAGGAAAAGAATAAGAACGACCTTGAGTTGGTAAGAACTTTTAATCGCTTGTTCACAATTCTTTGCTAAAACAGAAACATTTTACACATCACCTTTTCAAAAAAAATATTTTCAAACACTTTGTATGTATTCTTGAGGAATGATACAATAACCATTACAAAGTTAGTCGTACTTTGGATTTTCAAAAATATTTTGAAATCACACACAAAAAGCAATTTTTAAAGTGAGCTAGCGATTAAGAGCTCGTAGATAACTACAGATGAAAAGGGTGCTAACACCTTTCCTTTTCATAACTTACCCCCCGAACTCAAAATCTTAAAAGGTATTTCTTGTTCTTTTCATCCTTTCCTTATTGGATAAAATAAAAGTCGGTGGTGACTCTTGCTATCTGTGATATTTGCGATAAAACATAAAAACAAGTTTGTTCTCCCACCGTATTACAATGTTGTATATGAGTAAATTGGCGATGTTTCAGGCTCAGTGGCGGGAAAAATCACGACCTCATGACACAACCTTACCTGAAAGCACACTTATGTTGTTCATCCCAAAGGTGGGGTAAACGCTTGACATCGAGTCAATGCCTCATAACGAGCACGTTAAAGAAGAATTTCAGAGGAACTCCTTGCTTCCTATGGATATATATGCCTGAAGGGCACCAAACGAACAATATTAGAAACAAAGTTGGTCAAGGGATCACCCACTGACCTGGTCGACCATGCCGCATGCATGTTTTCTGCATCCTCGACATCAGCCAACGAATTATCCCAGGCAAAGTTGGGCAATTTCTCCTTTCGGGCAACATTTCCCCGACAATGGAGCTGAACTTAAGTCACCACCCTTTCACCTAAGGGAAATAATTTGGAGGGCTCCTGTTCTGGAATGGGCCGGTACTTGCCATACCATTGGGGAGGCCCAATCAGTTGCCTTCATCAAAGGCCCAAAAACATGCAGCCTAATCTAAGAACCATTGGGCATTTCCTCACGTGTCTGCTAGGAAGACGTTGCCCACATGTCTATATCATCACCATACTGCCCTCTGGGAATAACGGGTCCAACTTCATTTTTCTCGGAGTAGCTGACCAGGGAGGAGGCCACGCGCTGGACTCCATACACATATAAACCCTGGAAATCTTTGTTGTTGGGCCTCATCGTGGCCCATCATTGAAGATCTTGGCCCAACGTTGGGGGCTATAAATACCCTCTCACTTGAAAGGGTCAGGGATTGATATTCACACTCACTTACTCTCATACTTGCTAGCACTTGTTCTGAAACTTACTTTGGCATCAGAGTGTCTTGCAGGCACCCCCCCTCTCCCCCCCCCCCCCCCCCCCCGCTTCACATTCAACTGCTGCTCGACTCAAAGCTTGAAGGCTTTGACAATCCCTTATGGTCAGGTACGATCAATATTTAATGTATAAGCTTAGGTCTATGGTGTATCAATCTTATTAAATCATTACGAAGCCAATTATGTCTTGAAAGAACGTCTATGTAAAGAGTTTTAAATCACTTTGTTTAAAGTGAATTTTATTATCTTGTGATTGAATTTCATTTGAAGCATTCAAGTCCTTAGCAACATCATGTATTATTTTACTTGGTTTAATTTATTGAGATGCTTACAAGCTCTCCTTGTATTGTGTTTTTTCTACAGGGATTCTTAAAATCTTTTATTTTATTTATGAGACTCATAATGTTTTTGAAATTGTCTTAAAAGGGATAGGTCTATTCAACCCCTCCCCCATCTAGACCTCTTTGTGTCCATATCCTAACCTAACAATTGATATCAAAGCTCGATTTTTGATCTAAATCTTGCGACTCTAAAAGTTGAGGATATGGTTCCTTCGATCCTAGACGAGTTTTTCTAATTGTTTGGAAGCTTGAACAATTCAATGAATTTCAATGATATTACAATGAGTTACTTATGTCTGGTTATTTGTTGCATGCATTACATAAATTAACTTGAATTAAAACCTTACCAGCACATTCTTCAAATATTACTCCCTCTGTTTCAAAATGAGTGTCGTTTAAGGTTTTTGCATACAGATTAAGGGATATAGTAATACTGCCATAAAATATTGAACTTTTACTATATTAACCTTATAAATGTATTGGAAGTAGTGTAGAGAGTAATAATTAAAGGGCATAATTGTAAAAATAGAAATCACTTATATATTGAAAAGTGAGAATGACATTTATTTTGAAATAAATTTTATTTGCTAAAACGACACTCATTTTTAAATGGAGAGATTAATTGTATTTAAGATATTCTCTAAGTTTTGATTCATCCAGGATTAAATTAAAAATATTTTGAGGTATGTGCAGTATAATTAGAAACTTGACAATATGTCTTAAATTTTTCTCTTGATTGATCCTAATTAAAGATGGACATGCATTAACACTACAATATGCTAGAAGTTTTCATAAGATAAAAGAAATAAACAAAAACCATCGTCGTTCAAGTCATCTAAAGCCTTATTAAGGAGAGTCTGGTAGTATTTGTCAGACGTGCAAGATGAGTTGTATTCAATTAGTATATGATTGATCTTATTATTCGCTTATGATATTCTTGTTGATTACTAACCATTTTTCTGTGCAATAAGTTAAGCCTAGATCGTCTAAATTGGTATGATCATTGCAACCCTCCTTTATTTCTTTTTGAGTATACATAACTGTAATTATTCAAATGCCTAAATGTGTTGTATGTTTGAAACATGTGTGTGGATGTGATATTCTGAAGCATTTCATGCTTTAATTATTCAATCATTCAATGTATCAGTTTAATTTTATTTCGTCCGTTTAGTGCATCCATATGCAGCAACCATTCATTCATGCATCATCATTTGAATTCTTGTATTAAAATTACTTTAACATTAACATCAAATGCGTTAAGCATTAAAAATAATTTTAAACATCTGCATTAAAGTGGCTTATTATTATTAATCATAATCAGAATCATGCATCTCATTAAAAATCATTTTTCATTTGCATTAAAAAAATTTCAAAATTTGAGAGCTTGACTTGAATCAACTTTTGAACCTCATTCGAATCAGAAGTATGGGAGTTATGACGTTTTGGGACTGCTCGAATTGATTTGAATCATCAACTGCACTTGATTCGAATCAAAATGTTATTTTCTCAAAAAATAAAAATCTGTGATTCAAATCAAAATTAGAACTTGATTCGAATCACAAACCCAAAGGTCACATTCTTTTGAATTGGTTCAATTTTTCAAAAGTTACCCCATTTCATTTTCTTTTCAAATCATTTAAAAAAAACCTCTCATTCCTCTCAAACCCCTTTTCACAAAAATCAATTTACATCCATTTATCATCAATCATTCATTATCTTATATCACCAATCATCACTCCAAACCCATCTTCATCATCAACATCCCAACATGTCTTCTTAACTTCCTCAAAATAGTTTCTCAGTAAGGAAACAAGGAAAACGGCTAGTTTCTGGATCAAATCAATCTCCTCCTCCATTTCCAAAAAGGGCAAGAAGCAAAGTTAAAGCTAGTAAAGACGTGTCTGATGGAAAAATGAGTAAGAAAAGTCAAGTAAACAATCTTCTCATAGTCAAACTATTTATTTATGTCATGTGCCACAAGGTAAAACATCTGCTACCCGAGGATAATCTGAAATTGTACCATGAAAATTTCTTGAATAAGCCCGTTGAACCAGAGTAATATGTTGACAAAACTTCTAAAACTATGTTGAGAGAAAAGTTTCTTAAACCTTTTTCTAACCATAATTTGTTGAAATTTATTGGTTTAAGCAAGAAGTTTAACCCGGATTATGTCAAGGCCTTCTACTGTAACCTAGAGCTTACCACTACTGGTCTCAAGAGTAAGTTCAAGGATTGTGCTGTGAAATTTAGATACTGTGACTTTACTAAATTATATTGGTTGACTTCTTCTAGTTCAAGTGTCACTGCTGCTAGATTATCTCAGTATGATACGGTTCATTTTGTTCTTTCTATTTCCAAATTTGTGACTGAGAACATTGTTATGTCAAACTTCCCCATCAGTCAAGTGATGTTCAACATGTGAATTCTCCACTGGATCATTCTTAAGGTATTATATAGAAAACCTAGAAATTAGGGCGAGACAGACAACTTTGACCTCTACCTGATGTGGGCTCTTCTTTCAAATAATGGATTTTATGGGTAAAATTCATCATTGAAAGAATGTTGCACTGCAAAGAAAATCAAATAGATCTCTGTTTTTCTCTTCCTTTGTGCAGACAACTCTAGAGATTAATGAAACAGTGTCTAAGGAAAAAGACTTAATTGAAGCTCCAAAAATTTTAGACGAATGCAGAGTTTCCATGATGAGGTATTTCAGAGACACTTTTTAGTACTATCTTGAACAAAAAAACCTATAGGATAAAATTTTCTCATAAAAGATTTAAAAAAATTATAAAAAAAATTATTATTTCTTTTTTTTCAAATGCAAAATTGCAAAAGAAAAAAAAAAGTGAATTTTGCAGGTATCCGCGCGGTCTCATGTTCTATGTGATTTTTACACAATGTTTGTTTGCAATGAAAGTAGAAGAGAAAGATGAAAAAGGAAAGAAAGCTCAACATATGAGATCCTTTCATCGTTTGGGACTTTATGAACAGTGAAGAGAAAAGAAAATTGCAGCTGGAATCCACCTCCGTTCTGTTTCTTTTTGCTGAATCGAAAGAAAAGTAGAAAAATCGATGGAAAAAGAACAAAACAATTTACTCATAAACACAATGATAATCCTACCTATATTTTGTTCACAAAAGACAAAAATCTTCCCATTAATATATTGTTTTCTTAAAAATAAAATAAAAAAGACTTCACTTTTTTTATTTATGTAGAGCATATATTCTATATAGTTTATTCATATATATAAAAAAAACAAAGTCATTTAGACATGTTATATTTGTATATTATTTTATATATTAAAATATTAGTTTAATGACAGTTTTAATTTCCCATTTTACCCGATTCACAAAATTAGTCTCTTATTTTAAATTTAAACCGTTTTAATTTTCTATTTTAAATTTAAATATTTTTGGTCCTCTCTCATTTTTACATTTAAAACTAACGATATTTTTATTTTTTAAATAATGTATTATTTGTAAAACATGATAAATCGTCGCATATAAATTAATTATTAAATTTTGAATATAAAAATATAAGTTAAAGAACGAAAAGCTCGTGATTTTCTATGGAAAAACGTGAGCGGGAAATTAAAGTTGTTTTAAATTTAAAATAGGAAAATTAATTTCGTGAATCAGATAAAATAGAGGACTAATACTGTAATTTAATTTAAAATATTTTATTTATGTTAAATAGAGATATTTATGTACCGAATATAAACTCCCTCCATCCTAAAATATTTATTATATTTGACATTTTCAGACGGATTAAAAAAATATGATAAATGAAAGAGAGAAAAATAATAATTTTACCAAATTATTCAGTTAATTATTAATATATTTTAATTATTATTAACATACAGTAAGAGAAATATTAAATTAAAAATATTAATTAAAAGATATAATTAGAAGATAAAAACTAAAATTACGTTAGAAACTAAAAGTGATATTTCTTTTATTTATAAATATGACACTTACTTATTTTGGGACAGAATGCGTAATTTTTATCACTTATTCATCTTTCTTTCCTTTCACTTTCATTTCTATCAAACAACTTAAAAATATTTCACTTTTATTCTTACAACTTTCTTTTCTTTTACTTTCATTTTTAATCCAAACAAAGCATTAGTCTATGTATGATTTATTCGAGGTTTAAAGGAATAGGAAACTCAGAAAGGATACAAAATCCAAATTTAAAAATGCAATAACTCAAAAACAATGCAAGGCGTTATTATCCTAGTGGGGTGGGAGCATAAAAAACAAAGGAAAATGCTAACACGTATCTTAAGAATACATGTTAAAAAACTATTTATATATAGTCAAAGTTACAAGATTTTAAAAAGAAAAAAATATATCTCAAATAAATTATAAACAGTGTTGACGATATCAAAGTGGTAGAAATCATGGAAATATAATATACCTCTCTACTATAAAAACCATGATAGTTAGAGATCATATATACTGGTAGAAGTGATTCATCATCAATCAATCAATCAAACTTATTGAGGAGTTGGACAAAAATGTGCTACAGGGTAGAATGTTCAACCTGTGGGAAGGACACCTGGGGAGGATGTGGTAAACATTTGACCACACTCTATGCTAGTATTGACGAGGGAATGCATTGTATGTGCCATTCATGGCCTGGTGTTGTTATAAGTTCTCAACAACACATAAACACAGCCACTCACCAACCATCATCATCCTCTAATGGTACATCAACTTCTTTAATTTTGTTCTTTTGTTTTTTAGTTGTATACCTATTATACATCAACTTTGCCTAGTGCTCTAGATTTTACAGATTTGATTCTTTGTGAGGTGGTTAAGTTATTTTTAAGTCATTTGTTGAGGAGTTCGTCTAGTTCAAAAGGAGGCTGCTTCCTTCCATCATCAGAGAACAATATTAGAGTCAGAGATTCAGAAATTTTATTACTGTTAAATTGTAATTCAATTGTGTTGAAAAAATGTGTGTCGAAGGGAGATTGCCCAATTGAAGAGCTTGTGGATCGAAGCAAACTACACACAAATTTGATTAGTTTTAGATTTAGATAAATTTGATTTATATCTAAAATAGATAGATTTGATTTAGTACCAAAATAGTTATTTTGGGCTTTTATAGTTTTGGGTTTTCTATAAATAGAGGGAGCAACCCTTAATTTTATAATTAAGTTAATTCATTGTAATCACAGGATTTGCAGTTGCAATTGATTAATAAAAATTTTCACAGTTTGAAAAATAAAATAATTAGAAAACATAATAGTTTGAAAAATACTTTTAAAATAGTGGTAAAGCGGGAAAAAAAAGGAAAATTTTAATATTGTATAAATTATAGTGCCGATTATTCATGTATTAGTCGTTTATCCGTGCGATGTATACATTTTATTGAATTATTATTTATAATATATAATACAAGAAAAATGTTGTTTATCTTGGAAAAAAATCTCACAAAACAGAAATTTGTGGTGGGACAAATTCCTTAGTTAAATAGGTCGTCGCAAATAATTTATCAGGGGCCTATCATTTAGTTATTTTGCTTTGGGATTATGAGGAAAGATTGTCAGACTCAATTGTGTTACTTGGAAAGAAGGAAGGAAAGATCAAATGCCAAGAACATCTTATCTAACATCAACAATATTCATGATTTTCAAAATAAACTTAGAATTGGAGATATGTCTGGTCAAGACAGAAGTAGACACATCGGAGACGAATAGTGATCTCTCTCTCTCTCTCTCTCTCTCTCTCTCTCTCTCTCTCTCTCTCTCTCTCTCTCTCTCTCTCTCTCTCTCTCTCTCTCTCTCTCTCTCTCTCTCTCTCTCTCTCTCTCTCTCTCTCTCTCTCTCTCTCTGTCACTTTTAAGAACAATAAATCTATATGCAGCACTATGTTCGGCATAACCAATAAACAAACAATCAGATGGCTTAAAATCTATTTCCCTTTTCTTGGAATCGACTAACATAACTTTTGCTAGACACCCTCACACATTTAAATATTTCAAAATTGACTTATAACCTTTCCATAACTCATATCATATTTTACCGGTAATTCTATATGGAATTCTATTTTGTAAAAAACATGCAGTTAATAAAGCTTCGCCCCAAAGGTTGTCTGGTGCATGAGAACTAACAAGCATAACATTCATCATTTTTTTTAAAGTCCTATTTTTTCTTTCAGCTACTCCATTTTATTTAAGAAAATAAGGGGGAGTTACTTAATGAATTATACCTTCTTTTTCACAAAAATTATTAAAATAAATATACTTTCCTCCTCTGTTAGATCTAACTCTTTTTATTTTTCTATTTAACTGATTTTCTACTTCAGTTTTATATAAAATGAACTTATCAAATGCTTCATCTTTATGTTTTAACAAATAAAATTTAGTGAATCTTAAACAATCATAAATAAAAGTTATATAATATTTATTTCCTCCTCTAGATACAGTTTGCTTTAAATCTCCTAGATCAGTATGAATTAGACTAAGAAGATCAAATTCACGTTGCACAAACATACATGTTTTCTTTGTAAATTTTAATTTTAAACATATATCACACTTCTCAGATTACTTATTATTTAAAGTAATCATATTAAGACTTTGCATTCTATTCATATAAGAATAATTAACATGTCCTAATCTAGCATGCCATATATCATAAGAATCAATCAAGTAAGTAAAAGAAGAAACTTTATTATTCATAACTTCATAAATGTTCAACACAAAGAGCCCCTAATCACAGTAACCTTTTCCTATAAATACATCATTCTTTGTTATTAAAATATTGTCATATTCGAATGACACTTTAACCCCTCCCTTGCTCAAAAGAGCCACATAAGTTAAATTAGTTCTAGTATTAGGCACATTATTACTTCACTTAAAGCCAAGGTCTTTCCTGATGTGAGTTTTAACATAACTTTACCTTTTTCAGAAACTCCAATTGTTCAAGAATCACCAAGATAAACTTGTTCTTCTCCATCCCCCACAGTAGTGTAGGAGGTAAAGGCATCTTTATTAGCACATATTGAAACAACCGGCTGAAAATCATTAAACAATAAAGTCGCCATTGAACTTATTTTATCCCACATGAAGGGAAAGGTAAACATCGAGAAAACCTGAGAAGGGAGAAGTCATGGTCTTGCGACCGAGAGATTGGGTAAGGGAGTCTGTTACGCGAGGGAAATGTATTAGCACCCCACATGCCCATAGTACTCTACGGTGTCCACTCTTGTTATTCTAATCAAGGAGTGTGTTTAATTTATGCTTATTGTTTACTACTAAAGAAGAATGCATGCAAAAGGAATGAGAAAAAAATATAGGGAAAATAAAGTTGTACTCGCTTGGGCCCTATCCCAATGCCTACGTATCCTTTTTGAGGAATCAGAGCTACCGTAGTTCAGTTCACATGTTTTTGTTTATTTTGTGTTTTTTATGGACAATGTTAATTCCGCCTTCTTCCGTAGCTCGACCTTTGGAGACTCACGGGTTGGCACAAAAGTAAATTAATCATGTCCTTACTAAAAATGGTTTCGAGTTACGCCACCGAGGAAAGATGCAACATTTGATTGATTTGTGTTTTGTTACCTTAAAAAAAGGGTTTAAGTATGATTATCATATTTTATGATTTGCTAAGAAAAGGAAGTTTTAATTTTAGATGCATATATATTTCTCGGTTCAGGATTTTCAAATGTGTTACGCGTGTTTTGGACCAAAAACAAAGGTCCTCGGAATACCATTCGCATTGGAAAGCTGAAAGAAATATTTAGCCAACTCAATTTGTGAACCAATGCCACCAGAACTAGCTCTATACGATAAGAATCAACCGAGTTATGATTTTATGAAGATGAAGCAGATGAACATTTGTTACAATTTTCTTGTGCGAACATATTTGATAAACTCATATATTCGAAGACTCTCTGAGTAGAATTGGCTTCTGGCCGTGAGATATGAAATGTAGATGAAATCAAGCCGGAATTTTGGCCACTGGAACGGGATCAAAACGATAAACGGTCTTCAAGTTATGAATTTTCTAGTGCACCAAAACTGCACTTTCAACACCTTTTTCTTTGTATTTTTCACCATATAGCTTCCAAAAGAACCGCGTATTCAGAGACTTTCCTTTGAGAATTAGCTTTTGGTACGAACCCAAAAATTGAAGAGAACATAGGTACGGTTTCAAAACTTCAAGAATCAACCCAAAACACCATTCCAAGCTGGAGATGCGAATTTTCAAACTCAGATCAGTCAAAACACTGTTTCCAATTCACATTATTTTAAATTCACCGAAAACACCCAAATCTTCCACAATTCAAACATGCGTTGAAAAATTATTAGAGCTTTATTATGTTGATCAAATACTTGATCCCATGCCAAATTATTTGATTAATGATGCATGATATGTTAAATGACCTAATGAAGGGTATGCAGATGAAATGAGAAGCGTAAAATGCATAAACCAGATAAAAGTGAAAGGGTATGACAAATTTGGGGTATTACAGCTGCCCTTATTTAATCGTCTTAAACCTGAAAATACGATTGGCACATGCCTTTTGGAAGTTCGAGGTAGAAGATGATTAAATATCAATGCCAAAAATTTGTTCTGAAAGATGGTGTTCATGAGGATTATTTTGCAACGTCCATTGGGGAATTAAAAGAGGTGAGACTAAACCGGAGGTATACATTGATCAGGACACGACGATATCAGAGTACATCGATCAGGACACAATGACTGAGAGGAAAACACAGATCAGGGCACAATGATTGAAAGGTATACATCGATCAGGACACGATGACTGAGAGGGAAACACCGATCAGGACACGATGATTCGCAGGAGAGGTATCGATCAGGACACGATAACCAAAAGGAAGATATCGATCAGGACACAATGGCTAACAGGAATACATCGATCAGGACACGATGATTCACAAAAAGGGTATTGATTAGGACACGATAACCAAAAGGAAGACATCGATCACGACATGATGGCTAACAAGAATACATTGATCAGGACACGATGATTCGCAGGAGAGTATCGATCATGACAAGATAATCAAAAGGAAGACATCGATCAGGACACGATGGCTAATAGGAATACATCGATTAGGACATGATGATTCGCATGAGAGGTATCGATCAGGACACGATAACCAAAAGGAGGACATCGATCAAGACACGACGGCTAAGAGGAATACATCAATCAGGACACGATGATTCGCAGGAGGGGTATCGATCAGGACACGATAACAAAAAGGAAGACATTGATCAGGACACGATAACCAAAAGAAAGACATCGATAAGGACACGATGACTAACAGGAATACATCGATCAGGACACGATGATTCGCAAGAGGGGTATCGATCAGGACATGATAACTAAAAGGAAGACATCAATCAGGACACAATGGCTAATAGGAATACATCGATCAGGACACGATGATTCATAAGAGAGGTATTGATCAACACACGATAACCAAAAGGAAGACATCGATCAGGACATAATGGCTAAGAGGAATACATAGATCAGGACACGATGATTTGCAGGAGGGGTATCGATCAGGACACGATAACCAAAAGGAAGACATCGACCAAGACACGATGACTAACATGAATACATCGATCAGGACACGATGATTCACAGGAGGGGTATCGATCAGGACATGATAACCAAAAGGAAGACATCGATCAGGACACGATGGTTAACATGAATATATCGATCAGGACACGATGATTCACAGGAGGGGTATCAATCAGGACACGATAACCAAAAGGAAGACATCGATCAGGACATGATGGCT